AATGGCCCAATCAGGAGTCTCAAGTTGATATATCTTAGGTGATGTTCAAAACCCTTCTCATCCTTTTTTTCTTCAGAAATGTCTGAGGTTGTTATTTTTAAAGATGCCAAGATATTTATAGCAGACTTTTATTTTTCAAACACAGTGGAAAAATTTCAGACTAGGAGACTGAAAATCCTAGTGATCCTTGCCTCTGCCTCTAGGTAGCTAAATAAATTCGGCTAAGTTACTTCACCTCTGTGAAATTCAGTTTCTTCAACTGTGATCTGGAAATAAAATAACACATATCACAGGATTTTCTAAAAGCTAAATGAAGGGTGCAGTATTTGAGGATGCTTTGTAAGCTATAAAATACTTTTTATAGTTATAAAGTATGAGATAATTATAACACAAATGCTAGAACTTGGGGCTGTTTTTCTTCTATATAACCCTTTAAAGTTTTCAAAGCAGTTGTGGCTTCATAAATTATAGGATAACCTACTCCTAATCATAACATTTGCAAAGTCTTTTTTCTTTTACATAAATATAGTAGATATTCAATAAATGTTTGAACGGAAAGATACATGGTTAGTGGGTGGAGGAGAGGGAGATAGCATGTAAGGTAAATAGGAACATTCATAAAGTTTTAACTTTTCTTTTTCTAATTTTGTTTTAAAACATACTCCTCGATATGAACTATGTTCTTGTGAATGTTGAGGAGCAGGAGTCCTTAAATAAGAGGCCTGAATTGATGCACTGACCCAGTAAGCTTGGCTCTTCTCTATTTGTTTGTTCATAGAATGAAAATTTATTGAGCAACTATCATCAGCTGAGCATTGTGCAAGTCTCAGGGAAAGCACGTTTGAATATGTCACTGTGTGTGTGTGTGTGTGTGTGTGTGTGTGTGTGCGCACACCTGTTTTTTTAGCTGCTCACTTTTCCCTTTAAACGTTCGGCAGAATGCTGACTAAACTGACACTTGTACAGTCATATGAGGGGGCCCAGCCGTGTTGAGGGCTGTGCTTGTCAAAATCTCCTCCTGTGAATTGTTTCCTGATGTTACATGTGCAGCCCATGATTCCTCTCTGGATTGTGAAATGTGTTTATTCAGGGAGGGGAAGGTCCCTCCTGCCCTTTGTTGCCTTCTCTGTGTTGGGCCTTGTTTCTTGGGATGGTCCCTCCGAGCTCTCTGTGGTCGAAGGGAAAATGCGGTGTGCCAGCTCTCAGGTTCCAGTGGTCTCACAGCGGACGCCAGGTCTGCGCTGCTGTGGGATCGAGTGGACCTCTGGCAGCATAGAGAGAACCCCTCTTGAGGGGAAACTGGACACGACCTGCCTCTGGCTAGTGCCACATGAGTTTGGCCTGAGGTTATCTAAGTCTCCACAGAGCAATGAGAATGGAGGATCTTGGGAGGTGTTTTTTTCTACCCTTCTGTTTCCAGTAAGGAGACATTTTACCTGGTATTTTAGAAGAAGCACTGTGTGTATTTTGTACTTAGAATGGCTGAGAAAGGACCTACATTTGCAACCCATTTCTCTCATTGTGAATGTGAGGGAACAGTTCAAACTTTCAGGTAGTTTGTGGCAGAACTGGAGCCAAAACTCAGATTTTGTAACTCAAAACCCATGGTGCCTACTAATGTTCCATGGTAACTGATACTTCCAAATATATTTCCTTTATATAAGACAATTCTAACATCATAAATGAGGGAGTACAGAAAGAACATGGCTTTGGAGTCAGACAGCATGAGGTCAAATCCTGGTCAAATCCTGCTCTTGCATCTGTGTGGCCTTGGACAAGTTATTCTGATTCTTTGCTTCTGCATCTGTTGAAGGGGAGAAAGAATATTTATGTTTTATGGATGTTGTTAAGATTAAAAGTGATAAAATTTAAACTACTTAGCATGATACCCAGCCTATCTTAGATATCTGATATGTGTGCTAGAAAGGAAGAAATAATATGCCATCTCTCACTGGACAGTTAAGATGATGTAGATGATGATGGTGGTGATGGTGACGAGGGTGCTGAGGGTCATGGTGGTAGTGGTAGTGGCAGCCTAGCTACCATTAATCACTTTCGTTTTTAAACATTTCCTCCATATCAGAACAACTGTATGATATTGTCTGTTTTCTCCATTTTATCCAAGGTCTTTCTGTTTCACTTTCTTTTTTTTTTCTTTTTTTTTGTCTCATTATAACACTCTAGATGTAAGATTGTAAGCCTTGATATATCAACAGTGAATTTACTAACTAGAGAAGAAACAGAAAAATGTTTCCCACATGTTTGTTTTTTCCCATTTTTAACCCCCTTCACTATTGAAGGACCCTGTAAGGTACACGTTGCTGTGCTTTATACATGGAACCAATAAATGTGGGTCAGCGTCAGAAATTTCTTGTACTTATATATAACGCCGTGGACCAGCAGTGGCCAACCTCTTTTCTGTTGAGGATTTCAGGAACAAATATTTTGAGATACACAGATAAGTAAACATCAACCACCTGGCCATTTTGGTTTTATTTCGGAGAAAACTCCCAAAACCAGCAGTTTGGAGTCAGACGGCTTAGATGTGACTCCCAGCCCTGCTTCCTGAGCTATGTGACCCTGGTTAAGTGAATTTCTAAGCTTTGGTCTTCTCATCTGTAAAATGAGGATGATAAGAGTACCAGTCATATTCGATGGCTGTAAGAATAAAATGAGATGCACAGGAAGAGAATGTGCAAAAAGAGCTCAGTTAAAATGAGCTCATATCTAGAGTTTCTTCCCATCCAAAGCCTTTGTGCCCTCGATTGGGACTGGCATATTTAGAGTCCACCCAGAAAAATATAAATACTCTTAAGTATATAAAAAAGAGGGAATTTAATACTTTGAAACGCTGGCCCAGATGATGGAAGAGCTAAGAAGTGCTGCATTTCCTGCACACGAGCCAGAGCTCAGCAGAATGGAAGCTGCTACTACTCCTGGTGGGAGACAGAAAGGGAGGAGGTAGTGCTACCTGAGTCCAAGGGTGGTAGACTCTGGTAGGTATGGGAGTCACTGTGGCCCTGTCAGCAGAGCTGAAGACATGGAGGAGAAGCAGCCACCAGACACAGGGAAAGGGGTGGGGGAGACATACTCTTGTAGTTCCTTCAACTCTCAGATCTCCTGGCCGGCCGACCTTGGCTGACTTGGCTTCTGAGAGCAGCAGTCTGCAGGGGCAGCCCTACAATGCTGAGCAGAACTGGGGACTTGGTGAAAGCCAGGAGGCCGAGGGCTCTTACAGACTCAGCCCCAGACCTGACTACTATGATAACCAACAGAGAAAGTTTGAAAGAGTCCTACTTCCCCCTGCTGCTGGGCCTCTGAACAGTAGCAGAGGTTCACAAATCGCTGTGCTTGGGAAGGTAGAATTTGGAAAAAGCATTGGAAAAACCTAGAAAGTTGTCAAAATGAAAGAAGCCTTTCTATGGCCCCTAGATCCTCTTTTCTGGAAAGGTCTGCTTGTTGAGCAGCCAGTGCCTTCAGTATCTGGGGATCTGTGACTGGAAAAGACACTCCTAGCCCACCTTTCACCTACAGAACTCAGCATAGACCCATCTCCATAGGAAACCACCTCAAACCCCTACAGATGAGCTCAGCTGTCCCTGTGTCTTTTCATATCACATTCCAATCTTTGCATTGAAATGCTCCAGGTATTGCTCTCTCTGTCCCTCCAGACAGTGAGCATCCAGGACAGGGACCTGTCTTCTTTATCTGTGTATCACCAAGCATTCTTGATTTCACTTTCTGGTCTGTGCTAGCAACCGTGGGGCGATCTAGAAGGCTAGGCATGTGCGTATGGCAGTGCCAGCTTCCAGCAGCTTTTATAATAAAAGGAGAGGCAGAGGATATATGACTTTTTAAAGTTACTGGCATCTTGTGTGCTAGGGATGTCGAAGGGTGCGTGAGAACCTTGAACAGGGAGACTCCATCTTTCCTTGAGGAGAGAGGGAGCCTTCCCAGGAAGTAATAGTAGAGTTAGGAATAAATGGGAGTTTACCAGGGCAGAGAGGTTGGGGAATGACACTTCAGGCAAAGAGGAGAGCAAAGGCAAAGGTCTTGAAGTGGGAAAGAGCACTGAGTGCTGGAGATGGAGAGTGCTGGTGGCACTGCATGGAGCTGGTGAGGTCGGTGGGAGCTGTTCTCTCCTGCGTCGCAACCTGTGTCCTTCCTGAGCACTTTTCACATCCTGCCTTTGTCATAGGTAGGGATGTTGGCATGATTCTGGCTTCCACTTCACACCTACTTGTATTTTTGTGTGTGGAAGGTGTCTGTTGGCTATTTGAGCAAATGACAGACAGTTCTAGGCTCTAACAGTTCCTTTAGATTTCTTATCACATTGGTAACTTTGCTTGCCCAGCAAGGATCAAGGAATGCAGTCTATATGGAGAAGAGGCCTGAGGTTATACCATTTATGGGAAAATCTCTGCTCTCTGGCATTGTTTTAACAGAAGCTCACTGTCCACCACCCTACCATTACCGTGCTAGTTCTTTATTAAGTAGTAGTAAGAATGGTGACTTAGAGATGCCAAAAATTTTCAGTCATCAAACCATGCTGTCACCAACTTTGAGATTGAAATGTGATGTATTAAACCATTCAGCTCTGCTGCTTACTAGGCGAGCAGTGTGACCTTGGACAGGTCATTCAACCTTTGCGCATGCCTTCTCTACTGACATGTGTGGCATTTATACTATCAACCTGAAAAGGTTAATATAAAATGAGACTGTACATGTAAATATGCAGTACAGCCTGGTACTGATTGAGCACAAAATCACTGATTGCTGCTGCCTTTATTATTCCAATTTCATTTGCTATTATTAAAACAGGTTTCCTAGTTTTCCCAAGGCCAGCAAGTATTCTCCCTTTGATTTGTACTGGAGACGGGAGTACATGTGGAACATTTGCTTTCTCAATGTTGTTTGGCCATAAAAAAAGAGTGTTTTATGCTTGTTTTTAGCTATCTTATTTTATTTTTTAAGAGGATTTTGTTTTTGCTTTCTCACAGGAGTGATTGGAACAGATGTGAGGGGGCACGGCCTCGCCTGTGAGGGACAGCCAGTGACGTCACGGTTGGCTGTCATCTGTGGAACATCTTCTTGTCACATGGGGGTGAGTCTGCCAGGCCGGCAGGGTGGGGGGCGGGTGCTGCACTCGGGGAGGGCAGCCCAGAGGAGATCGGAGCTGCTGGCGCTTTTGCTTCCTTAGCCTTCCCTTCCTGCCACCCACCCGCGCTTTGTCTAGCTGGAAGCTCGGCTTTCTCTCCAACAGCTTTGAGTACATTTGCCAGATCTTTTTTTCTGGGGGCCAAATTCTTAAAAGTGTGAAAAAGGTTGAGTCTGCCTTTAACACCACTCTGGCCAGAGAGCTGAGGAGGAGTGAGGGGTGAAATTGGATCCAACAATGGCAGCGCCTCGCTCGCAGGCTGATCTTTCCCTAATGGGTAGCTGAGTCTTCTCCGCACGGGGTGTCTGTTTTCCTTGGCCTCTGAGCTCCCTCTCAATCAATATAAATCTATCTCCCTGGGAGCAGCCTGATGATCTATAGAATTAGGCTGCATATCATGACTTCAAAAGAACACTGATAAGCAATTTTCACTTTGTTAATTTTTCTCCATGAATTAGTAGAAAGGCTTTCTCCAAGATTGCAGTTAAAATTTAGTGCCTGCACTAAAATTTATATCTTTTTTAAATGCATGAGTCTGAAAGCATTCCATTTCGATAAGTACCCATTTCTACCATATTTTTATTTAAAAGTCATTACTCTGTTAAACTTAGATGGACGACTCCTTGGATTTTTCCCAGATGGGCAAAAGAGTGAGGACAGTGGGGGAGGAAGAGGAAGGCAAGTGGGGGAGGAGCAGGGAGAAGAGCATGGGTTATGGTGGGGTGCAGTCCAGGGCAGAAGCTCTGAGCTATAAAGGGAATCATGGGCGATGAGAAACTGTTCAGTAACAGAGACTCAATGAGACCTTTTTCTTCATGAAATATTTTGGTCGAGTACATATTGATACATTTACTTATTTACTGATCCCCTACTCTTGCGTCTGGGACTTTGCTAACCCTTGGGGATAAAAGTATGACACAGGGTCTCTCATTGATGATATAGAATTATACCAGGTATTACAAGGCAAGGCCCCACTATATATAGATTCAGATGAACTTGTGACACTGAGCATCTGTTATGTGCCAGGCATTGTGCAAGGTGCCCTCACAAGGCTTCCCATTTCACAGAGATGGTGGAGCCAACCCGATTGGCTTCCAATCCCAGTTCTTCCACTTCCTGAGTATGGGCCCTTGGGCACAGCACTTAACCCCTGTGGGCCTCTGATTATTTCTCTACAAAACGTGGATAGTTGCAGGACGCATCTTGCAGTATTGTGAGGGTAAAATGGGGTTATGTGTGGTTGACATAAAGTAAGCACTTCACAAGGGTTAGCTTATGATCACTAGCACTCGTGTTGTTGGGCAGAAAGGAGACAGTGACTGTTCTGTCTGAGCAGGGTCCAGGGTTAGGAACATCTTGAGGGGACATTTGTGTTGTGCTGGACTTTAAGGACATAGATTTCCTTGACCTCTGCCCACCATACACACACACAAAGTTTTCCTTTTATTCATTTCTCTGGGAAAAGTTGTAAATGGATCTTCTTTAACTGAGTTTAAAAAATCCCAGCCTCTCTTTCCCTTCAGCAGCCCTATTGTAAATAAAGCCTGGCTGTCATTACAGGGAGAGACCTATAGAGGCCTGCTGCTGCCTCAAGCAGGGGTGCCCACCAGGGGCGGCCAGCCCTTCTTTTCCTCAAAGTGAGTCTATACTTGCTAGCTTTTGCCTTCACTGAACACAGACTTGAACCTATTTAAATCACCCACCACTTTCAGTGGGACACATCTAATCTGATTTCTCCTGTGAAGTCTGAATTTCAGGCATTTTACCCTACTCAATTTAGATTTCTGAGCAGAATCCAATCTAAATGATTATGAGTGACTCTGTGACATACCTATTTCTCAGTCTTTTTGTCTCTTAGTTGGGATAATACTTTTACTAAATTATTCATTTTACACATTAGGTAACTCAAGCATAGAAAAGCCAAGTAACTTCCCTGGCTGGTGTGGCTCAGTTGGTTGGGCATCATAATGCAAAGTGAAATGTCACCAGTTCAATTCCCTGCCACTGCACATACCTGGGTGGCCGGCCTGGTCCCCAGTCAGGGCACATGCAAGAGGCAACTGATCAATATTTCTTTCCCTCTCTTTCTCCTCCCCTACCTCTATCTCTGAATAAATAAATCTTTTTTAAAAATTAAAAAAAAATGTCCAGTAATTTTCCCAGGGCTACAAAGCTATAGGCTGGAGGTGAGAACTCATCTCTAGTTCCCACTGATTCCCAAGTGCACCCTCCTCAAAGCCTGACTGTGCTGTGCAAGATACTAATGTGCCATAGATGAATGGAGACAGCATGGGCTTCGGAGTCACCTAGATGTGGGTTTGAACATCTGCTCATGCACTTTTTGAGCCCTGTGAGCTGCAATGAGTTACTTAAGTTCTCTGAACCTCAGATTTTTCATCCACTACGTTGGGGGTGATGGTGCTTGTCTCACAGCATTGCTGGATGACATGAATTATATACATCATACCTAGTATATCATAGACACTCTGAAATGATGGGATTCTTATTGTACTTTATGAGTGATATAAAGGGCTCACACCAAGCAACTGTTTGGGCTTTGCTGAGTTTGATGGGCAGCTGCAGTTGGTTGCAATGAATGAGGGCCATAAAATGCCAGCTTATTATGGTCGTGTTATGCTGGAAATAAAGTCCCCACCCCCTCCTCGCTTTGTACTTAGGAGTGGGAAGGGACCTTCTGGGCCAAGGGGATTAATCATCAGCTTTAATGTTATGTGGTGAGGGCGAGACTGTGGTCATGCTGGCATCAGAAAGTGCCTTTGATCTCTCTCAGGTGCTGGGCACCCAGCGAGCCAGCAACAATAACACCTTTGTGAGGTCTAGGAGAGGTGCAGGTCTGAGGAAACACTCCCAGAGAAACTCAAGGACCCCCTTTGTTGTGGTTCTGGCAAATAAAACCGCCAACTGTCAGGAAAAATTCACGAAACAGAATGCAGGGAACTGAGGGGACTGTGGGCTTTTGAAAAAAGTGGTTTTCAACCTGGTCTGAGGAATTCTCTTTCTTCCTTTCTGCTCACTGCTGATGTTTCTAATTCAGCAGGTTGATTGAAACAAAACCCACAGGAACATTTGGTGCTGTAAAGGTCGCCTCTTTCTAGATCACCCAGAATGAATGAATGAATTAGTGTTCAAGTAAGTGAATATTGGTAAATATTTCGAAGCTCCCTACCTCCAGGTCCCTGTTATTTCCAGGAATCTGCGGAATAAGCCTGAGGTTGAACATAACACTTACTAATCAGGCCTTTGATATTTTAGAAGATGTAAGTGTGGGCTGCACATTTATCTTTCTTGTAGATGATTTAATTAACAACAGAAAAAAATACTTTTTTTTAACTCCATAAAAGCAGAGCAGCTTGTTCAAACTTAATTACTACCAAGTTACCAAAACCCAAGATAATACACAGCTGGGGTTAGCCAGAGGTTGAAAAGTCACGGGGTCAGGTAGAGCTGATCCTCACCATTGCACCAGCACCCCTCTCTTGAACTGTCAAGTCAGGTTGTAACTTGGCAACTTGTCTTTCTGTTAGCATCTCAATGGGGAGCAACCCCAGGGAAGGGGGTGGGGAAGTGTTGTAGAGGTAAAGTTTGAACAGAACAATAGCTGATGAGAGCCAGGAATTACATCTGCATCTGAATTGCTCAGAACTGAAATTTCCCCAAAGTCTTAGATGAATGTAGGGAGAGTGTCCTCTGTCACTTGGTGGGCATGGAATCTCAAGGATATAGCTCACGTCCAGGCCCCACCACTTACTGTGTGCGTTTAGGTAAGATATGTCATTTTTTGTGCCTCAGTTTCTTCCTATTGTAGGTAATAGTATTTACGTAAAAAGTTGGGGATTAAATGAAATAATCTTTGTAAACAGTTTGGCACTGTACCTAGCAAAATAGATCTAATATGGTGTTATTACTAAAAATGATTCATTAAGGCTAGCATGCTCCATGTGGTAATGGATTGAAATTAGGCACATCAGGATGAACTCACGTATAGCTTTATTTAGATAAAGATGGATACATATGGAAACACTTATAGACATGTGCAGCTATGCAGGTTAGTAAACATATTCCTGGCCCTGACAACTGAGAGGGCCTAGAAATAAGGATACCCCAGCAGCTAGTTGTTACAAGCACACTTGGGGCCCACATCTTGGTTTCTAATACTGTTCCCTAATAAAAAGAACTGGGATTCCTTAGAGAAATGGTTGATTCTAGAACTGGAGCAGGAAATAGACAAGATGAACCTGGAGCATCTTATAGCTCAGAAAATGAGGAAGTGCTTAAAAAAGAAAATAGTGACAGAGTATCAGGAGCCCACTGAGGGAGCTCCCAAGAGGTCAGAACTAGAACAATTTGGGCAGCAAAATGAAGTAGTATTGGATCATAACCCAAAGTAAGTCATAAACAAATGATTGAATAAATAAATAAATGAAGAGAAGAGACAAATCTCACTGTGCAGAATTCTGAGTAATTTTTGTGGCTATTCTCCCTGAAGGAGGTGGAGCATAGCTTCCCACACCTTCAGTGTGAGCTGCACACGGTGACTTCCTTCCAAAGAGGACATTGTGGGAAGGGGGGGAGTAATTTTACAGTGGAGAAATCTGATAAACATGACCTTTGCCAGGTGATCAAGGTCAATGTCAACAGTGGCAAGTCATGTTGATAGTAAGTACTGTTGTTATGATGTGATGAGAATGGTACTTTTTGTTTGTCATCTTCCCCCCAAACCTATAACCACAGTCTAGTCATAAGAAAAGCATCAGACAAATCCCATTAGAAGGACAGTCTACTAAATACCTGACCAGCACTCCTCCATACTGTCAAGGTCATCAAAACACAAAGTCTGAGGAATTAATCACAACCAAGAGGAGCCTAAAGAGATGTGACAACTGGGTAGAATGTAGTATTCTAGATGGGATCGTGGAACAGATTAA